AATTTAAATTCAAGTGATAGAGTAAAGTTTGTATAGGATAGAGAGAGACTGAAGAGAAGCTTTATTTTTTAAAACCTATAAAATGTATTAATTTTTAAAGGCTAATAATAAATTCGAGATATTTCTAGCTTAGGTACCATAATATTACCAAAATAGCAATACTGAAACCTAAAATATGTACCTAATAAGTACGTGAGCTAAGGCACTTTCAAAGGCTTAACAGCCAATAAATTAATATTCTCAAGTTATATCCCGTAGAAAATCGTCAGAAAATAGGTTAAACGTAAGATCCACCACTTTTAAGATTTTAAACGACCACCCTGAAGGTATAATGATTTGACCCGAATACTTAGAATCATTTTTAGTTTAATTTTATCTTACACATGCAAACCATTTTGATAAAAGTTCATTCTAACAATTTTTAGACGGGAGGGCGGCATCCCTGCTGTGCCCACTGCCCATTGAAGCTCCAAACTTTCACTTGCTACAGGCTTGAGTGATTATAAAACCATTTTTTATCCTCACAATGACATACACCCACAAATCGAAGTACACACGTGGGTTGCGCCATTAAACTAGCCGCATGCGAATTCGGCCTATTTAATACCTATTTTAGTAGGTACAAGTAGCTAACCCACTCTTCTTTATATCAAGAAAACGTGGTGGAAATTAATATATATTTTCGGGGCGTTATCTTGTCACCTAAAGCTGTTAGGTTAAATATTTCTTCTCATAAAACCTTTTATGGTCTTAATGTAACAATACATTTTTATAGCCAATAAATAGGAAGCACATACTGTGGTCTGTGACTGCATCAATTGGAACTGTAAAAAACAGTTTTTGCAGTTCCATTACTCGTAGGTAGCGTTACCAATGAAATGTATAAATATTTGATGTTTTCCACGCGCGGTGATATTAAGCTGACTATCTATAAAATACTTTATGAACTTTCATAGCTAATATAAAACCATAAATGTCCGCTATCAAGGATTAGAACAATCAGGCCGACATGCGTGGGTAAGTAATACCGTGTGAATAGACATGTTTCCCTCATTAGATGCCTAGTAAAATAAACTTATAACCCTTTGTTATCTATTTCGCTGTAGTAAATTACAAAATATTTTGTGTCATGTGCCTTATTGAGAATAACTGTAAGCCTAGGCGCAGACCACCGACTTTTGGTTGGCCGATAGTTGGGCCCGATTCTTATTTGTATGAAGAATCGGCCGATACCAAATCGGTGTAATGTGCGCACTTTCATACATCTCCATACTGATCAACAGCCCGATATCCAACTATCGGCCAACTAAAAATCGGTGGTCTGCGCCTAGGCTAAGTGCGAGAGTTAGGATCCTAATTCCTATTATGAAAGTACATACCTAATTACCTGCTTGTTATTTCAAAAGTAGAGTCGTGATGAAATTATATTAGTTGTTGCCCAACTTTTCATTGTAAGTAATACCTAAAGAAGAGAAGGGAAGATTTTAAGTAACATAATGCACCCCTAGCGACACAGCAAGATTGCTATGTAATCGTAAAACAAATGCGTTTTATATCGTTTTATTACTGCTACTTTGATTTTAAAATATTTAAGATACTTATGAAAAGAAAGTATAGTATGTAGGTATTTGAAAATGTAACAAAGCTTTCCTTTTATCCCTCTTTAGAGAGTTCTATTAGTGACGGGCGTCAATGTAACCAGTTTATTGTTTAACACTTTGTCCTTAAAACGTAATGCCTAAGCAAGGACGAAGTTGACTGGGTAATTCTTGGAGTTGAGTGGTGTGTGACGTAGTTATTTCAGTTTATAGGAAGCGAAAAGGTCGGTGAGGGCCGGGAGGGCCGTCGTAAAGCGACAAGCGCGGCCCAGTGGTGGTAATGCGGCGGCTGTGTCGCGCAGCATGGTGCTTATGGATATCATTTCGGCCACTCAACCGCTGCCTGTGACGAGTGATTTTCTGTTCTTGCCAGTAATTCTTGTGCTTGCGAGTAAGTGGTGATACAGGTTGCACATTTACGGTGATTGTACCCTATTAACGAGCATTGTATGTTGTTTCAATCAACTTTCCTCAAATAGTTAATAGTAGGTACCTAGGTTTATGAAGTACTTTAGACGCCATTCAAAATTAATGTTATTATTAGCATGTGCTAATAACGTCAGGACATCCTGTAGAAGGATAAACTTAAAGATCTTTGTTTTGGTTAAAAACTTTTAAATTGTATCACGCTTTGACTTTTAACATTAGAAGATTGTTAACGTTAATTGAGATAGTTATGTTAATTACTATGTTGGTTACAAACCCAACATAGTAATTGCAACAATGGATCAAGATACAGAAGGCTGGTAAGTTATAAATCAACGGCCTTTTCGCGTAGCGGTTCGCGCACCTGACTAGGGAACCATTCTATAGAGGTCGCGAGTTCGATTTTCCCATAATAAAACATTTGTGTGCATGATATCTAGATATTTGTATTGTTCTGGGTGGTTTATAAATGAAAGTACATAGTACCCATAATAAAAGCTTTGCTTAGTTTGGGACTAAATGGCGCATACTATAAATGCCCAAGAATATAAAAACCAGCGTCAAAACTATATTATGTCCGTACCTATGTACCTACTTAAGAGGATTGCAAGTGTCCTCAATATTCATCATCATCATCATCATTTCAGCCACTGCTGAACATAGGCCTCCCCCAATGCTTTCCATGTTGATCGATTGGTAGCGGTCTGTGTCCAGCGCTTCCCTGCTACCTTTACGATGTCGTCGGTCCACCTTGTAGGTGGACGTACCACGCTGCGTTTTCCGGTACGCGGCCTCCATTCCAGAACCTTGTTGCCCCATCGGCCGTCAGTTCTGAAAATTACATACTTCTCTACCAACCAAATAATTGGAGTCGCTCGTACCTACTTACAAAGAACTTAAATTATCATGAATATTCAAGCTTTCTTAAAAAATATATTAAGTATTTATCTTACTTTAGTGTTTTACATTATTTACATAAATATTTACCTAGCCGGTTAGCTTCTTGCACCTGCTTCGTGCAAGGCTTCTAAAATTGTACAACTTTAAGTATTTGTTGCATAAACATTTGAAGGGAGGCTGATTAGACAGCTAAGTATACCCGTGCCCGCGGCGCCACACCAGCCACACCAACAGATTTGACTCATGACCTGTTATTTGGGAAATACAAATTAGTTAGTACGTAAGTATTCATATACTAGTATTCTACTCGTATATGAATATTAATCTGGTCACACCTAGATAACCAACTAAGTAGGTATGTAAAGAAGGGATATCATTCATTAGGCCAATACACAACTCTGTTGATTTATACGTATTTCAACGAACCTTTGTTAGGTATGTGTAGTGTTACACATAATGTGTAGGCACAATTAATTATAATTATTCTATTTTACTATTATGAACAGAATCAAATTACACTTACTACACATTCCCTGTGTGTTATGGACACATTGGAGAAAGTTTTTTTTTCCATCGCAATAATATCAATTCAATAATGTTTATTGTTCATCACAGATTGTTATACCTACTAGGTAAATAAAAAATTACTCATTTTCTATACATTGGCGACTTTTCAGCAACACGAATAAAACGCGGGCTATTTTTTATAATGTTGGCTATAGCTATAAAGCGCGCGAAAAAACAAGTAGTGTGGAAGGTTTTTAAATCTATGAAGACTAAAAAGGTTGTAAAACAAAAATTAAGTATTTGTTTCTTGTAAAGTTTCTAGGGTTTCTTGCATAGTTTCTTGTCTTTCACGGTTTGCGTTTATACATAATAAATAGGTAAATAAAAATACAATATTGTAACTTCTAAGTAGTTCTCCTATTTTTGTATTAGGCTGCAAGTCTGAAGCAAATTAAACAAATAACTTCTGGTAATTTGCGTTCGTAAGTGCTTACACAATTTAAGCATCATATTTATTGTAGTTAAGTACTTTAATGCCACAAAGTTGGTATACAGGGTGGAAACGTTAAGTGATCTCATTCAATTATTTCTAAACTATACAAGATATTGAAAAACTGGTTACTGATCCTGAAAGTGCTTCATAAGCTCTTTCAAATGTTACCAATAATAGGTTACAGAATAAACTGGATCTATCTGAAAATTCAATGTTTCCAGCCTCCATACTAAAATTATGCCAGACACACAATATTAGAAGTGTATTTTTTTTTATTGAATAATAAGCTCTTAAAATAAACTCGTAAATTGTATTCTTATTTAAAATTATTCTTGGAAAACATTGGTTTTTAGGCTTTTTACTTGCTATAATATTGTCAAGAGATGAGTGTCATGACTGTGGTAGTAGTAGGCTAAATGTATGGAAGAAGGAAACATTGAAATTTAGGAAACATTAAAATAATTCTGGTAGATCCAGTTTATTCTGTAACCTATTATTGATACCATTGGATAGAGCTTGTGAAGCACTTTAAGAATCAGTAATCAGTTTTACGATATCATGTGTAGTTTTTAAAATAATGTGAATTTACCAAATGTATGGAAACTGGAAACATTGAATTTTCGGATAGATCCAGTTTATTATGTAACCTATTATTAGTACCGTTGAATAGAGCTCATGAAGCACTTTCAGGATTAGTAACTAGTTTTTTGATATCTTGTATAGTTTAGAAATAATCGAGTGAGATCACTTATCGTTTCCACCCTGTATATTTGCCGAACTTGAATTAAATGCAATAAAAGTTCAACACGCAAATATCGTTTCGAAATTTGTAATATAGATCTTTTTATCTTACACATTTTTATAAGTCTAGATTCATGAGTCTTCGGAGTTATCACTGAAAAACATTCACTTTTTACTAAACCATGTTTAAAATAAGAAAATGATACGATTATATTACGATTGCAATTTAGTGTGATTAAGTGGGCACTGCTCACTCAACGGCACAACCCTATTTTTTTTTCGGTGTGTTGGTAGTACTGTGTTGCTGTCAAAAATGACGTAACGAGCTAAGGATTTGTCTATGGTTTTATAATGCTCGCTCGCTCGCGAAAAAGGACGCCGCAAGACTTGTATTGTATTAAAAGATATAATTTAATACGTATTTGTTACAAGAAAAGAGTTTAAAATGTAAATGTCGTGTTCAATATAAAAATGGTGTTATTTCCGTGTTGTGAAGTTACAATAATTGTTAAATTATCTTATTCCAGGGCTCGGAATAAGTCGCCTACTGCGACATCGGATAAGGATAAAAAGAAGCCAAAGGAGGCAAAAAAGAAGAAAGGAGACTCGGGATCAAGTAGTAGCGATACCAGTGGCAGGTAATTATCTAAGTTTTATTATGAAATCAAGTCTAAAACACCACGTATAGGTTATACCGCGTACAGCCATTACCGTCGAGCTGCTACTATCCTGTACCGTGGTATTATCATATTGATTTGTTTATCCCTTACTTCACTAATAGTCCAACAATAGCGATTTCTGTTTTAACTCTATATTATTATGGGTTTTATGTTTTTTTTTATTTTTAATTATATCCTATTGTTAATTCTATGATTTAGTAATGTGTAAACAATAAACTTCACAAACGATTTATTCATGAGTCATACACTTTCACATTATATTATCAAGAAGAATTGTACACAAATTTATGTAAAAAAATTATTTCTTTCAAATATTTTTACAGTTTCGCCTAAATCATATTCGATCACCACTATTGAACTATGTGCCCGTCATGACACTAGGCGTAATAGTTTTGGGGTGTATCGGAAATCTCACCATTTCATCGATTAATTATCATGCTATGTTCTTTATTGTATCAATCACAGCTCATCGGAGAGTAGTTCCTCGCGGTCTTCGTCGCGCTCGTCATCAAGCAGCTCAGGCAGCTCGTCGCGCTCGTCGTCGTCGTCCAGCTCATCGAGTTCCAGCAGCAGCAACAACGATCGCTCCAGGTTGAAGAAGAAGTACGTACCATTCAAGTGTTTCATACTATATTTTTATGTTTCAGTTATTTAACCAATAAATAAATAAATTCCCCAACCCGACTGGTCCCTGTGGGGATTAAACTATATTATTACCAAATTAGGTGTTGTTTCAGTCAATTGTAAAATGTCTAATTTATAAAATATAAATCACAGATTTTTAAGCTCTTAATTTATCTTGACTCGAACTAAGTATAAAATTAATCTTTTCTGTGTAATAATATAATTTTGTATGTGTCAACATTAGAACTCTGATAATATGTAAGCTCCTATGTTTATAAATTTTTAGGCTATCTCCACACAAAAGTCCACTCAAGGATCGCCGCGGGGAACCTGACAAGGACAGGGAAAAGCTAAGGGATCGCTCACCATTGAATGACAAAAAGAAAATATCAGCACCATCTAATGATGCCAAGAGCAAGGACAAACATGAAAGGTAATTATGACAGCTTAATTGAATCAATTTAATAATTATTTATTCAATAAGTGTCTTTTCCCTCATGCTATGGTTGTCTTTATCTGTGTTGTCAAATTGGTTGCAGTTTCTATTTATCTTTAATTAAATATTGTTCCAAGACAACATGATTTAACAGATACGCAGTTATTAACCATTTCAAATGTATATGCTTTTGAATTTATTCAACCCATCTAATCTTATAAAAATAACTTTCCAGGTCTCCGGGCAGAAAGAAACGTGAACGCTCACCGCCACCACGCCCTACACGTATACACATTGGTCGTTTGACGCTAAATGTAACAAGAGACCATATACATGAAATATTCTCAACTTACGGCACAGTGAAAACTGTGGAGTTCCCTATGGACAGACTGCATCCACATAATGGACGTGGACATGCATATGTGGAGTTCACTAATCCGGATGAAGCAGAAAATGCCATGAAGCACATGGATGGAGGTATGTAGACAATAACTGCAGTATAATAATATTTATTTTAACCTTTGTACGCCTAAGTACTGATTAGGTCATCCTAATGAGGCATGAGACAATGACTTTCACATTGTTGTCTGGAATCTCAGCATAATAATGTCTGGTTAAAAAAGCATTTTTTTAGTCCCACTCAAAACTCTCCTTTAAGATGTGCAGGGTTTTTGCTTTTTACACATCATAACCCAACATTACATTCTTGGTATTGACAACTATTGCTAAGTTGCCTTTCCAGGACATTTTGTTTTGTAACATTTCTTTCGGATGTGGAATGTGGAAGTGTGAAACTGCAACTATTTTTAAGAAGTTTCGCTGGTATCTGTTGTAAAAAGCTTTATTTAATACTAGCTTTACGCCTTAATGGCAATAAATAAGCAGACTTTTTTTTAATTTCGAACGGGATATAAAGTATCCTATGTCCTTCTCCTGGCTCTAAATTCCTCCCTGACAATTTTCAGCTAAATCGGTTCAGCCGTTCTTGAGTTATATGTGGTGTAACTAACACGACTTTCTTTTATACAGTGTGAGTCACGTTAAAGTGTACATATGAAAATAGATGAAACTAGACCTATTTTTATCGACAAAAAAGAGGTCAAAAAAATTTTGAATTTTTTTATAGAATTTTTTTTCTTCAAATTACTTATTGTAAAGAAAACGTAATAACTTTTAAACTAAGCGGTATAATAATATAATCCTGATAAAATAAAAACAGTAATAATGCTAAATAACAGGCGATCCTAAAAAAATACATAAAATACACAAAAAAGGCCAACAAATATTAAAAAATGATACTTTTTGAAAAAAATCTGCTTATAAATTCGTGTTTTTTTTATTATTTGATAAATTTCTCCAAAAAATGCCCCTATAACCGGTGGTTTTTATTACGTTGTATTATTTTCTATCGTATTACCTTCGTGAAACCAAAAATCGCATGTCTCTATCCCTATCACAACGTTTGCAATGATCGTTTGAACTAAGCCTCTCCGGGTGCGCCATTCAATGCTTCATTAACAACGAAACTGAAAATGGCTCTAGATTTGTAATTTTGATAAAGACAAGTTAGATTTCAAATAAAAACAAAAGATTTTGAAGTAAAATAAGCATTTTAGTTAAAATTAAAATTGTCTCTACCTGTAGCGGAGAATAATGTTGTGGCAGGCCTTTGTTCAAACGATCATAGCAAATGTTGTGATAGGGATAGAGACATGCGATTTTTGGTTTTACAAAGGTAATACGATAGAAAATAATACAACATAATAAAAACCACCGGTTATAGGGGCATTTTTTGGAGAAATTTATCAAATAATCAAAAAAACACGAATTTAAAAGCAGATTTTTTTCAAAAAGTATCATTTTTTATTATTTGTTGGCCTTTTTTGTGTATTTTATGTATTTTTTTAGGATCGCCTGTTATTTAGCATTATTACTGTTTTTATTTTATCAGGATATGCCGCTTAGTTTAAAAGTTATTACGTTTTCTTTACAATAAGTAATTTGAAGAAAAAAAATTCTATAAAATATTTAAAAAAAATCTCAAAATTTTTTTGACCTCTTTTTTGTCGATAAAAATAGGTCTAGTTTCATCTATTTTCATATGTACACTTTAACGTGACTCACACTGTATATATAGATGTTTGATTATCGCCAGGTCAAATCGACGGGCAGGAGATCACGGCGGCGCCCGTGCTGGTGCCGTCGCGGCCGCGCCGGCCGTCGCCGCGCCCGCCGCCGCCGCGACACGCGCCGCCTCGTCGCCACTCGCCGCCACGGTAAATAAACTGCTTTAAGTTTCATAAATAGGCTTTTAAGTTCGTGCTAATTGAAAAAGCCTATCTTCTTAACATACATCGCGGGCGTCAAGCCATAAGGGCGTATAAGCAATACTAGGGGTATTGCATAAACGGCTTGACTGACGCCCGTGACATGTTTTAAATATTTTTTAGTACGTTTTAAATAAAAAATGTCTATAATGTGAATGATTCCCCCAGTAGTCTAGGCTATGCGCCTACGCGTCGGATTTTGCGTTACCAAATTGCAATTTTATTTATTTTGTTTTTGCTGTCACACATTTTAGTTCTTGTGTTACCATTTAGTGTGTTCTGGATAGGATTTTTGCAGATGATAGGGAATAAAGGTAAAGGACAAAAAATCCCAATGGATCGACGTGCACTACGCCTAGGCTTGGGTCTGCACAAGATATTGTGTCTTACTATTTACGAATTTAATTTTAGACTCGAATTCTTCAAGATGGGCCCAGCCGTATTATCAATAGACAAGGGGGCATAGTGTGTAATTACGTCAAACGCATTCGTGTTATCTACTGCGTAAAAAAGTGACAATTAAAATATAGATGACCCACGTTGAACTGTCCCACCAAACTCAATGACAGGGGGGCGCTACCATCGTTCAACTATATGGTTTTCAACATGGCAAAAATCGGAACCAGCGATCCGGTATTGACGGTGGCGCCCCGCTGTCAATGTCATGGATAGGACAGTTCAGTATTTTGGAACTATAGACGGATTATGTAGCGCCCCTAGCGGAAACTCCGGTATTGACGGTGGCGCCCCACTGTCAATGTCATGGATAGGACAGTTCAGTATTTTGGAACTATAGACGGATTATGCAGCGCCCCTAGCGGAAACTTTCAAGAACTAAAATCTTCATTATATTTTTTACGCGCTTGCTAGTGACGACGTTTGATGTAAACTTTCAATAAGCCCTCATATATTTATTAACGCAGTCGATATCGAATGCGTTTGATGTAAACACACTACGCTACGCCTCAAGGATGGTGCTAATGTGTTCNCATCTCAGCCATTGGACGTCCTGCTGAACTGATTCCCGGTCGGGCAGAAATTGAAATGATGAATTTTAATTTCTGTGACGGGTCTGGGTGTTTTCTATATATAATATGTCTGTATTTACAAACAAAAAGTATTGATGTATGTTTAATTGTTTATATCCATTTTCTAGTACCCATAGTACAAGCTTTGCTTAGTTTGGGGCTAGCGGCGCAGTGTAAAAATGTCCAAGGATATTATTATTTTTTTGTTGTGCAGGTACCGGCGGCGCAGCCCGCCGCCGCGCCGCCGCTCGCCGCCGCGCCGCCGCCGCTCGCGCTCGCGCTCCCCGCGCGCCGCGCCGCGCCGCCGCAGGTCCAGGTCCTCCTCCTCCTCTTCCCGCTAAGCCCCGCCGCACACGCTACACTACACCTCACGCACTCACGCACACACACATACACGTTACACGTTCCAGCCCCCGCCGCACACGCTACACACTACACCTCACGCACTCACGCTCACACACATACACGTTACACGTTCCGGAAACCACGGGAGGTAAGTATGACCGACCCCCGTTTCCTAAACTTAGTACTTAGCGCTTTGGCCAGGTGAGTATACTTTTGTAGAGGATGATGACTGCGCAATGAAATCGAAATTCTATTTAGTCCGTCGGACAGATAATAAAAAAATATTGGACACGTATTTTTTATTTTTTTCATAATCGAATAATTATTACAGAATTTTATATTGAGTTGAAATGTCGCGTGACGTCACTTCTAAGTAAAAAATCTACATAGGCGTGACGTAACGCGCCATTTCAACTCGATGTAGCACTGTTATTATTAATTATGAAAACCAAAATTAAAAATACGTGTCTAAAATTTTTAAATTATCTGTCACACAGACAGAAAATTGAAATTTTGTCATCTAGCCTAACCCGAATACCGTGATCTAAAGAGATGTTGAATACCGTGATCTAACGAGATGTTTCTTGTTATAAAAGCTTGCAAAACGGGAACTGAGTGGTGCGGAGTGACGCGGACGCGAGTCCGGCGATAGACCGAACAGTGAAGTGCTTTGTAAACGTCACACGATTCCATTTGTAGTCTTATGGACACTGACTTTGTTAATAAATAATTGTAATGATAACTTTATCTTTTTATTTCAATCCCAGATCACAAAATCCTGTCCCCTTTATTATTATAATTAATATTCATATTTAAGTTATTCTAATAAGCATAAAAACACATGTAGTTACTTTGAAGAATCTATTTCAAAAACATTTTACACTATAAATAATAACAATAGAAAATGCTTAACAAAATTATGTTTTATCACCAATAATCTTACAGTATGTTTGATAGTCTGTAACCAACACTTTTCCTTTATGAAGAAAGTTTTGATCTAATGAAGGAAATTCTTGATGTGTTCTGAAAATCATACAAATATACATGTTAATTTCCAATTAAATATGCCAATCAAACAGAATTCTTTGAAAGATATGACTTACGGATACTGAATTTTCATATTCTTTGGTCCTCTGACTGGATTCCAAGCAGACACTGGATTTTTGTTGGCCAACATTAGCCCAGCTACTGCTGTGTATAAGCCATATTCTTGACACATCTTTTCCTGTAAACAAACAAAAGTGATATTGAAGGTTTATCCCACTTTGATCACCCAGGTGATTAAAGTGGATTCCAAGCGACACTTGGTGTCCTTTGATCACCCATAGATAAGAATTCATTCATCCATGGGTGATCAAAGTGGAGTAGACCGATCAAAGAATACCAAAGTGTCGCCTGGAGTCCACTGCATAAAGAATGAGACTGAAGAAATGATGTAGTGAAGCATACACAAACAACCCACAAGCAATACACTCAACTGGTTGTTTACATTTATTGTTTGAGAACATAATTATGTACTTAACTTTACACAAAACTACTGGACGGATTTTGATAAACAACAATGATATAGTTAGAATATAATTTCTACTTTTATCGAATTCTACAAAATTCAAGAAAAAAAAAAATACTATACCCTCCACTCAGCAAGCATGTAGTCAGAATCACTGAGAATAGATGCAGCTTTTTCCACCTGATCTGCGCTGGAAAAGTGCGGTAGGTAGTTTTCTTCTAGGAAATTAACAAACGAAATTGGATTGCTCAAGAACTGCTCAACAACGTCGCACGGTGAATGAGACAGCCGTTGTTTACCGTTATCTACAACAACTGAAATAAAAGGTAAATGATTAGACATTTGGAAAATTGGTATTGAAAAATACTTCATACATGAGATATTTTTCTTGTTACCTTTAGGATTTAACACTCTTCCAACACCATGTAAAATGCTTACTGTTTGGTCTTTGCCCAAGGACATAAATTTACTGGAAGCTGTTTTTTTCTTCTTAGGTGCTTTACTTTTACTTTCCTTCTCAATAATCATGCTAGTTTCTAACTTACAACTACTTCCTGTAAAATAAAATTAATTCATTAATTAGTTTACTTCACTGTACATATGAACNGGAAAATCCTTTTGTATGAAAAACCTAAACCGCTTAAGTTGACCTGAAGTGATGCAGTGACCGCGCGCTCTCCGCCCTCTATCTCGAAAACGGTTCACCGTATAAAAAAAGTTTTTAAACAAAATTTGTAGAGAATTTAGTATTCTACAATATTGATAATAAATACAAATAGCAAAAAACCCATAGGAAATGAGATATTTCCAAAAAAAGCGCAAAAAACCGATTTTTGTGACCTTTGACCTTAAAATTTAATAGTTGCTTACACCCTACCATATGTAGGTTTTGAGACAACTTTTAGGGTGTCAATATACAAGTATTTACAGACTTACAGCTGGGTATCTCTAATTCCGAGATTCTTACCTAATTTAAGCTTAAATGACTGGACTAAAACCCAATGGAGATTGAAAGAGTAGGCATTCTATATTTCGTCGGCCGTTTGGTGTAGTGGTTCAGAACGGACTACTATGCCGAGAGGTCCCGGGTTCGATTCCCGGCCGAGCAGAAATTGAAATGATGAATTTTAATTTCTGTGACGGGTCTGGGTGTTTTCTATGTATAATATGTATGTATTCACAAAAAAAAAGTATTTAAGTATGTTTATATCCGTTGTCTAGTACCCATAGTACAAGCTTTGCTTAGTTTGGGGCTAGCGGCGCAGTGTAAAATGTCCAAGGATATTTATTTATTATAATATATTTAATTCTGTTTTATTAATTTTCATTACCTTTTAGAGATGCAAAATGTAAATTTAAAACTGCAGATCTGACATCTCCAGCTGAAGAGTTGACTACACACTCAATCATGTCTGCTGTTGGTACATTGTAAACTGAAGTGTACTTTTTGCTTATTATTTCTGACACTCTTTTAAGAGCTGACCTTAATCCTGTCACCGAGACACTGTTGAACCTAAAATATAAATATTAAGTTAAAGTGGAAAGATGTTGATCAATTTTAAGTCATAAATTAGTATGTTAACTTGTATACTTACGATATATGATTGATTTGAAATTGTTCTTTAAGACTTGGTGTAAATAAACTGATTGAAGTATTTTTGCCATCTGTATGGGATTCAGAACATATCAGCACTAGAGGTGACTTCGCTCTGTGTTTATATTGCCTGAAAGAAAATAATTTCATGATTATGAGATGAGAAAAACTTACTACTTACAGAAGCAGCATCCAAACAAATTTTAAATAATTCTGTAAATAAAATTTCTTATATGACTTACAGGAGTACATCTGAGAATTCTGTAGGAGTTCTTAAAAATGTGTTTGGAAAGTCCTCTACCAAAACTAGCTTATTCTGATTATTATCTAATAGAGACGTAAAATTGGCAGCATTAATAATGAAGTCTAGAAACTTTGTGGACTGCTTCTCTCTGTATTCAAATTCTCCTGAAAAATAAATACATCAGAGTAGTGTTTAGGTAGTTGATAATTTAAATGTTGTTTATCATTATTAATATTATCACAAACCATTGTCTGAAGGTATATCAATATCAAGAGGAGTTATCCATTCTGTTACTTTAATATTATTTTTCTTTGCTATAGTATGGACAGTTATTGTTTTCCCACAACCCACAGGACCAGTTAGAAGTAACACATCACTGTTATTATGGGCACAAGCAGCTCTTAGCCACTCTTCGACTTCTTGTACTTTTTTATTGTGAACAGCCAAATCTTCAGGTAATACTGGATCAAAGTTTTTCATCCAATCTTTGTGGTTCACTTGCAATAAGTTGGTATTGTTGTTAGTAGTTGAAATGAAAGTGTTCTGCAGCAAAATAAAACGAATTTATTAAATTTTAAAATGTATATGTAACGCCATATTTCAAAAATTCTACTGCAAGTAGAAGAATTAACTTGTACTACAAGGGTCAAGTGATGTAAGTAAACCAGATATGGATAATCCATATCTGTGAAGTAAACTGTCTGCAGTGCAACTTATTGATTACAATGATTCAGCAAACTTATGTCTTACCACATTTTTCGAAGGTGATTGGGATGATTTTGAAGTTTCTTTGCGAGGTTTCTTACGCTGAGGTGGCTCATTTTCATCGAAATCAAATGTAGGCTTGAACCACTTTCGTTCCTGTAAATGAAAATGTTTTAAGGAAGCAAGTGCATATCAGATTAACAACACTCCTATCTGCTACATTGAGTTTTAATCACAGAATATTTTGTACTTAATACACAAACAAGAGGTCATTTTATTAAATGTATGTACCTACTTACCTTTTTCAAATTGGACATATCAGTCTTATGGAAATACGATTGTCGTGTTTTTTTTATTGTTTTGTTAGCTATTATTTGAGTTGTTTGAACGCAAATCGTGGTTGACGCACAAAGCACGGGCTGAGGACGAGGCACAGAAACCAACAAACAAACAACCTGCTGTGCAACAACAACACCACACTTCACCACAGCTGATTATTGTCAAAAATGACATCTCTTGCTTGACAGGACAGCAGAATGCAGATGTCAGTCATTCATTAAATACCATGGGCCGGGCATACCTATAAAATAAACGTGCTTGGCACATACACACGATTTGGGAAAAGAGCATGGCCGTATGTTTTTTTACTCGAGATATTCTAAAAAGCTTCCTTTATTGCAGTCATGTTTCTTTTCCAAATCGTGTATTTACCGAGCACGCTTTAGATAGGTAGTTGGCATGAAAATTTTGCCAGAATGTGTCGATCTTGTATGAAATCTTTTAAGAAGGTCAATAGGGCCTTTCCTTTTTGTGCACAGATTGTAGACATGCTTTTGTGACTGTTTGTGACGATAGTAAAATTTTGTAGGATCTGATAAACTTTGGCATATTGCAAGGTAATTTTAATTATTTTCAAAGCTTTAATAAATCAATTTAATTATTCATAAACGTATTGTAATAGTTCACTGGTTGTTTATTAAAATAATTTACTGTAGTTTGTATTGTATGTGTCAAATAAAAAAATATCTTCGTAAATGTCCTCACAATTACGTAAATTTTACAAATACGTTTTGCCGTAAGTTTTAAGTGTATTTTAATCATTTTCTTCCCCTTAAATGCAAGTGTAAGTTTGTAAGTGTCTCTTCTAAATTGTGTTTTGTGAATACCTGGTAAATAATTTTATTAAAACATACGCAGTTGTTATTATTGACTTAAATTTTCTTGCAGGTTAAAATGTTGGCAATCAAAACCTTAGGAGCTGCGGTTCCTAGCACTGCGCTCTCGGTGTTAAAGAAAGGAGCATTTGCCCCGGTATTAGATCAAGTGAGGCAAACACATTTGCCTGCACCAAAGCCCAACGAAAAGCGCTTGTACTCTCCTTTTCAAGATGCCACAAATATGGCTGAATATGCTGTTGCGCGTCTTGATGATTTACTGAATTGGGGAAGAAAAGGTTCTATGTGGCCTATGACCTTTGGGCTTGCTTGTTGTGCCGTAGAGATGATGCACTTTGCTGCTCCACGTTACGACATGGACAGGTGGGTAGTAAGTACAAACACTTAAATCTAAGTTCTAAAGTAAACACAACTAGTGCTAGAACCAGCGTTGTCAGTTTTTTTTTTCGCCAAGTCGGGACTTTGATACTTTTTGAGTGAAAATAGCGGGACTCTTCCGTCAGAAGCGGGACATAGTAAAAAAACGTATACAATCAAAGGTTTTCAAATATTTATCTTTTTATTTGACTTAAAATTACGTTTACGTGACAATATATAGCAAAAGTAGCCATAGAAACTTTTTCTATGGCTACTTTTGCTATATATTTAACAAAAAAATAATATTTTAAATCAGATTTACTCTATCATTAAATTCGTCTAGAATAAAAAAAGAATAAAATTAAAAATGTTTTATTCTTTAGCCCTTTCGGACCCGCGCTTAAACTAGAAAGAAATTTGTAATTTTGAACGTGAATTTTAGGTAATTTAGGGCCGCAGATTACGAATATGGTATAATTTTCCAGATTTTCCGCCGCCATCTTGGAAAATTCATATACCAACAATTGTATCAAACTGGGCCCTTCACTTCCCACGTACAATTGTGAGGGTCAATATTGTAAGGGTTTTGGAAATTTTATCAATGGCATGTATTCCGAAAAACGTATTTATAACCAGTAAGAAATAAACAGATTTGATTTGTATACCAGTATTTGCCATTTAATATTGATTTGTGGGCAAAAACATCTGTTCCATGAGCTCAACAGTAAATATAGGGCTCGAAATATTACTATGGAGTTTTAATATCTCCTGGAACATGAACAGCATCTCCTGGAAGATGTTGACAATTGAAGAGCTTGTCTGCTATGCCGCTTGCATACTCAGAGGTATGTATCGTCATGATTGTCTGAGCCTTCATCAGAAGAAGAGGAGTAGTTTATCTGAAGTAGCCGAAACTAGCTTTTGTCGTTGTCATCGCTCTCATCCCCAGATGCATTGAGCATCTCTGCGATAGTAGCGTCGTTTAAGATCGGAAACATGGTGCGGAAACCATGAAAAATTAATAATTATGAGAAACTTCAAATACGCATAAGGTATTGTAGGGCCCACGTCGATACAATTGTGTCAGTAAAGTTCGTTAGGCCGTTACGCCAAAGCCTTTGCTTACAAGTAGTTACTGTTATCACAAAAAGATGCTATTTTTAACTATTTGTCTAATCAATAACTTGTATATTACTACAATTACAAAATAAAACCATAGTAGGTACTTTCTTTCGCCAAGTCGGGGAGCGCAATCAGTCATGAACTGTACTGAGCCCCGATTACGGTAACTTTTAACGTCAACAATCCAGACACGCTTCTCGATTCTGCGATACGATTGGTCGTTCAGTCGTTCAACAGCGTACGTCAGCTGTTTTGACCAATCGTATCGCAGAATCGAGAAGCGTGTCTGGATTGTTGACGTTAAAAGTTACCGTAATCGGGGCTCAGGTTGTAACCTGCTCACCAACTGCGCTTCGGACAAAATTTGCACGTGAGGTGATAGGACGCATCCCGCACAATCGTACGATACTCAGCCCATCCACTTCCGATGTAAAACTAATGAGATAATCTCGATTTTGTAACCCGCACAATTGTATTGGAGCGGTCCGAAAGGGTTAGAATAATATGGCGTTTCAAACAATAGTTTGGTGAAGTAAGTGTCTCTCTCTGAAAATCGGGACGTCCCGCCAAAATCGGGACGTCTGGCAACGCTGGCTAGAACCTTAATTTTATAGGCATTGCAAGAAAAACACTAGGACTGTGATACTATTATTGTGATATTATTGATTTTGAGTACTACAAATAGAGGCTCCAACTAATTATTTATTATGTAAAGGTCCATATTTGATATGTAGCCAGTATTGTGTGTGAAAAATATGAGTACTGCTATTATTTCACACACCCAAACCCCAATGCGAATAAAGCAACATGTGATGAAGACTGAAATACAAAGTATACATTTTTTACAGATATGGTGTAGTTTTCCGTGCATCTCCCCGTCAATCAGATGTAATGATTGTTGCTGGCACACTTACCAACAAAATGGCTCCTGCTCTCAGAAAAGTATATGACCAAATGCCTGATCCACGATGGGTTATATCTATGGGTAGCTGTGCAAATGGTGGTGGTTACTATCATTACTCTTATTCAGTTGTAAGGTAAGCCACTTTCTTCCTTTTACCCAACCCATTAGACAAGATTCTGATCAGTTTCTCAAATAAAAAAAAATAAACTAAGTTTGATAGAAAAGTACCATGTTGTTATGTCCACAGCCTTGGCTTCAAAAAAACATATCCTGGATATTGAAAATAAGACTTATTATTCTTTGACTACTGCTTTGCTACTCGAAATATAATTTCTGTACATTTGTTTCAGGGGTTGTGATCGAATCGTACCAGTTGATATTTATGTACCAGGCTGTCCACCAACAGCTGAAGCTTTGCTTTATGGTGTTCTCCAACTACAGAAAAAGGTCAAAAGAATGAAGACTATACAAATCTGGTACAGGAAGTAATAATTCAAATGGAAATAAATCAAGTAAAATGAGTAGCTCTTCTTTCATTATTTATATTAGTAATGTCTCAATATCCCTAAAGCAATAGAAATATAATGTAATTTAAGCATCACTACTGTTTTATTTTATGTCTAAAATAGCTTTTACTTATGCTATAATAGTAGGCAACAATTTATGCACCACATGACACTCATAGTATGAGGGGACCATAAGATTCCTTACGTCACTTGATACTAAGATAAGCACATGTTTAGAAAAGTTGTGATGAGCTTGGAACAATTAATTAATAAACTCCAGTTTGGCTGTAATAGCCATTTTTTGTTCTTTCGACCAAATCTGAGTTTTTTCTAAATTCTTTATAAGGATGCATAACGTCTTTAGGAGATAATGCGCCTTTGTATATCCAGACTACCTATTTCAAACTACACTCGCGAGCAAAACTATGGAATCACTTACATGAAGTTGTTTCCACGCGATCTTGTGTACTAACGAATTTGTTAGTAACAAAAAAAGTGGCACCATTTTAAAGAATAAACTTTTACCTTTAAATTGATACCAAATTCATTTAAATCACACCTCTATTTAAAAAGATATCGCGGCTGATGTGAAGAAGTAAGGAAAAAGACATGTATCAACTGTTTGATACGTCGCGAGTTGCGGCCCATTTACCCCCTATAAAAGCACGTGTTTTCAGATTTTTGCTTTCACACGTTGATCCATACACATCTCAGCTTCTTTTGACACTTTAGCTGGGATTCTACACCTTCAGAAGCAGCACAAATCCTTGCACTATGCAAGAAGGGCTCAGCCAGCGGGCTGTCGCATGTCAGCTCCACATAAGCCAGTCCTGGGTTTCGAAAGTTTTAAGACGCTTTCAGGAGACTAGTGGCTTTATCCCGAGACCAAGTTCTGAACAGTGCCAGTGCACATCGCAGAAGGATGACCGTTTTTTCATGTCAACCTCTCTATGAAATCGTCATTTAACTGGTATCGACGTCTAGCAAGAGCTCAGAAATGTTCGTAGGATAGCTGTTAGCGTGTGGACAGCTCGTCTAAGATATAAGCAATAGAATTTGACTCCAAACAGGCCTGCCACAGGCTCGAAACTGACGGTAGGTCACCGATAAGCAAACTTTCAATTTGCTCGTACACATCTCGATGGGAAGTCGAGCAAGCCACCCCCATAAGCCACTGTTTCAGCGAACCAGCACTGCACAAATCGCTCCCCAGGCTGCCTATAGACCCGACCTCTTCAACTGCTGCACTGCAAACACAGTCTGCATTCATCGGAGAACAAAACTCGCCTCCATTACTCGCCTACCCATCAAAATAAGTGCGAGTTAATTGAAAGCGTGCTCGTCGGTGACCTGCCGTCAGTTTCGAGCCTGTGGCAGGCCTTTTTGGAGTCAAATTCTATAGCTTATATCTTAGACGAGCTGTCCACACGCTAACAGCTATCCTACGAACATTTCTGAGCTCTTGCTGGACGTCGATACCACTCAAATGATGATTTCATAGAGAGGTTGACATGAAAAAACGGTCATCCCTCTGCGATATGCACCGGCGCTGTTCAGAACTTGGTCTCGGGATAAAGCCACCAGTCTCCCGAAAGCGTCTTAAAACTTTCGAAACCCAGGACTGGCTTATGTGGAGCTGACGTGCGACAGCCCGCTGGCTGAGCCCTTCTTGCAATAGTGCAACGATTTGTGCTGCTTCTGAAGGTGTAGAATCCCAGGTAAAGTGTCAAAAAAGCGGAGATGTGTATGGATCAACGTGTGAAAGCAAAAATCCGAAAACTCGTGTTTTTGTAGGGGGTAAGTAGGCCGCAACTCGCGACGTATAAAACAGTTGATACATATCATTTTCCTTACTTCTTCACATCAGCCGGGATATCTTTTTAAATACCGGTGTGATTTAAATGAATTTGATATCAATTTAAAGGTAAAAGTTTAATCTTTAAAATGGTGCCACTTTTTTTGTTACTTACAAATTCGTTAGTACACAAGATCGCGTGGAAACAACTTCATGTAAGTGATTCCATAGTTTTGCTCGCGAGTGTATCTATTGTGGTGAACCCCCAAACACTACTCCTAATTGTCCAGTCATTTGGGAGTCTTGGAAAGTTTTCCAGGAGTTTTGAACATTCTTAGGCCGGCAATACACGGACAGCTCGAGCAGTTAGTCAGTGATCAACATACACGGACCGCTCTTGCAGTCAAGAGTTAACAGCTTAAAGCTGCCAGTGATAACTGCTCAACAAATCACAAGCGCGCGCGCCGTGGAATGAAGAAAGTGGGCGGAGGTAACTGCGCGAGAGCTGTCGACAGCTCGAGCAGTCAGTGTATGGCTGGAGACTGCTTGACCGCACGATGAAAATTCACCGTGCTGTCGACCGCCCGAATCAGTTGCAACTGCTCGAGCGGTTCGTGTATGTGCGTCTATAGAACTCAGCAGTTCACTGTGCACTGCAGTCGCAGCTTGAAGCTGTCGACCCTGACTGCTTCAAGCGGTCCGTGTTATGCCGGGGCCTAAGGTTGTGAACTAGTGTTGTCAACTTTTTGGCCACTGGGTGTCACGAACTATTTGACGCTGACTGTACCACTGGCGATTGACATGACCCTACTGTACCATCGTCCATCGGCAACAGTGTTAACTGTCATGTCATCTCGTTCTATTGCAAAGAATCACCTTTTGATGAGAGCGAGAGCAAAAACGGAAATGGATAGTTAACGTGTGGTCGTGTGTGTACAGTGGTGCCATCCTGGAGAGTGCAAATTCAATTTTCTTCCTACTGCTTCAGAGATCATTTTAGCGCTCACCAGTTGGCGCCACTAGCAAATGAAATTGACCCTACTCTACATTGGCGCCACGGATTACCGTGTTGGCGCCAACTGGTGGGCGCTAAAACGTTCTCACGATGCAACCCCTAAGATAAACGTAACTAACGAAGGGAATGGATGTGAAAAAAAATCTTATTGGTATAAAAATCAAAAGTTTTAATGGTATTTTCTGAATCGCACCAAGCTTTCATTACCTTTTAGTATACAGAATGATTTTGTAAACTATGATACAATTTTCTGACATCCTTTTCGAGATTTAAATGACAATCATCTTGATGTGCCTTATTACAACTGATTCTAATTCAATTTTGTCTGACTCAACGGTTTCAATAGGAATTTAATGGCACATAAGAGTAAATAACAACTTTTTAAATCAATAGCCAAACTTAGTTAATTTTAGATTTTTATTGCTCACATTTTAAAATAAATGTAGCTAATATACGGATATTTTTTATTAAAATTTCAACATACTGTCGTAATAATTAGATCTATAATACTTGACAACAGACACTACTTTGAAGTCAGACAAAATGTATTTCATGTTACAATAATATCACATACTTTAAATGCATTAAAATGAAATATCAACCACTATTTATAACAGATTGTATTCTTTTAGTTTAACTGATCACTTTCACTATTTAAGGAGTATAAATAAATAAATAAAACTCCACTGGTACAATCGAAAAACCATTATGAGATTTTTAACGGAAGTGTAAATTATAACTCCCGATACAATAATAATTTATGGGATTTTTCTTTTGTATTGACGTTAAATAAACCAATTCTATATTATAACACTAATTTACATACTAATATTTACATTTATTTATAAGTATATATAAATATGTATAATTATATCGATAGCGATTCTGATAATCCTATCCTTCACATAATCAGCAATTTGATGTATAATTAACTAATAATGGTCACAATAACAACTCGATAGATATTTTCAAGTAAATAAACAAGCAGTAGTGTACAGGCCGGCGGCGACGCGCCCAGTCCTCGCCGATATTGCACATGCCGCGCCCGGGCAGACTAGCGAGCGTCGTGCGGCGAGCGACTTACAATAAATAATTCTCTAAACCGATAATGCGAAACGATATACATTACTTTAGTCGTACTCTCACTCGCGACGTCGTTTACACTACTCTATGTACAGACGGAGACGGCGCTCGCGGCGGGCGCTATCATCGCGGCTCCTCCTTCTTGAGCAGGTCCAGCGGCGCCAGCGGGGCCAGCGGCGCCAGCGGCGGCGCCAGCGGCGCGTGCGACAGCGCGCCGTGCGCCAGCGGCAGCCCCGCGTGCAGCCCGCGGTGCAGCAGCGGGCCCGCCTTCAGCTGCTGGTGGTGCGCGTACGCGCTCAGCATCTTGGCGCGGTCCTCCTCCGCGCGGATGGCCGCCTCCACCAGCGGCGCGAAGCGCATGTGCTGCAGCGGGTCGAACGGCCGGTACGGGTCCCACGGCGGCGGCGCGTACGCCGGCAGCGCGGGCGGCGGCCGTGGCGGCTCCTTGCGCTCGTCCTTGCGCTCGGGCTCGGGCGCGCCGTTGCGCAGCGGCGAGCGCGTGCGCGCGCGCTCCAGGTCGCGCTCCCGCTCGCGGGCCTTGCGGCGCTCGCGCTCGTCGCGGTCCCGGCGCTCGCGCTCGTCCCGCTCGCGGCGCGCGCGCTCGCGCTCCTCGTGCTCGCGGCGCGCCTCGGCGGCGGCGGCGGCGGAGACGGGCGCGCGCGGGCGCCAGGCGTCGTGCAGCGGCAGCGGCGGGTGGTGCACGGCGTGCAGCGAGGAGGACAGCGCCAGGTCGCGGCCGTAGGGCAGCGGGAAGGCGGGCGCGGCGGGGAAGGCGGGCGCGTAGCGGCCGAAGGGCGACACGCCGGAGACGCGCAGGCGGTCGGGCGCGGGCGGCGCGCCCACGAGCCCGGCGCGCTCGTCGTAGCGCACGCCGAGGTGCGGGTGGTGCAGGTAGGGCGCGGGCGGCAGGTCGTAGGGCGAGCGGTAGGCGGGCGGCGGCGGCGCGGGCGCGGGGAAGGCGCGCAGCTTCTCCTTGTCGGCGGCGGCGCCGGGCGCGGTGCTCGTCCCCGACTTCTCCTTCTGCTGGTGGTTGTAGATCTCCCACGCGATCCTGACGTGCATGGCGTTCCATTTTCCGGTTTTCTGTGGTGACGAAATGTTTGTTGTTATCGTTTGTCTCGTCTCGCGACTGCTATGATTTAAATTCGATCGATCCGTTTAATAGTTTAACAAAATATTAATAATTCAATAATGGGCATGCATTACGGACTTAATGCTGAAGAGGAAACCTACCGCGGTAGCGGGGCGTGGTGGTGGTTTAGTGGCGGAGTCGCTTGCTGCTGACACTACGGGCTGTTAACATGATGCGTTGCAGGGTTAATGAAAGTGCAACATAAAACATAGGTATTATAAGCTAAAAGCTAGACAGTCTAAGTTAAAGTAACATGAGAGAGCAAGATTTTTTTACACAGAATGAATTAGCTATAACCATTAATATTGAAGTCAACTAAGTAAAATTGCAGGAAGTTGCATTATTTTTTAAAATATNGCGATATTGTATTAGAAATTATAAGACCTCATGCAAGAATACCTGAATTCAATTTAGCTGACTCACAAAAATATAGTATTAGAACTAAATATTGTCATAAAATGATGGGACAATGAATTCTAAGTCTACATTGCTATATCTACTAATCAGACATAACAGGATAGATATCAGTTAGAAGTCCTTCAACGCGCTCTATGCTCATAAATTTAGGCGAAGGCGAAGGAACCCCCTAATTTTAACAAATTTTACATGAAGAGAAAGAGAGAAAAAGACGAGATGATAAATACAACAAGCTGGCACGAATAGAACAATCTAATCCAAGCTTAAATCTGTAAGCTGTTGAATAGAGTTCCACACCACATTATCACGAGTTTGAATCGTGTTGTAGTATAGTTATTGTAAATTACTTATTAATTCGTGGCACCTGGTTGGATTACATTATTGTTGGTATAAGATTTTTATTAACGTTAGATTTCCGAACCAAAGCTTAGAGGAGAGGTTTAGTGGAATTAACGAAGTCTGATTAGTGGTTGAAACAGATCTCCCCTCCTGTCCACATTGGTGGGAACCGGGCCTCAGTTAGGAAGGCACAGGCAGTGTCAAATAGTTCGTAACACCCAAAGTTGCCAAAAAGTTGACAATACAACCTTATTCCAATTGTAACAAATTATTGCGAACTTTTTGGCTACTTTGGGTGTCGCGAACTATTTGACGTTGACTTTACCTCAAGTAGTATAATTGTAGTTTTGTTTTTATTAGTGTAATTGTACAGGGTGGAAATGATAAGTGATCTCAGTAATCAGTCAAGTGAGGATCAGTAACCAGTTTTACGATATCTTCTGTAGTTTTTAATATTATGTGGCTGTACCAAATGTATGGAAGCTGCAAACATTGAATTTTCATATAGAGCCAGTTTATTCTGTAACCTATTATTGACATCGTTTGATAGAGCTAATGAAGCACTTTCAGGATCAGTAACTAGTTTTTTTATATCTTGTACTAGCTGATCCGGCGAACTTCGTACCGCCTTAGCGTAGAGATTTTCTTAATCTTTTTTTCCGTAAGAACCATCCTTGGACTTCCACAAACATTTAAAAAAAAGAATTATCGAAATCGGTTCAGCCGTTCACACGTGATGCCGTGACAACGCGAAACGGGTTTCATTTTTATATATATAGATTAGTTTAGAAATAATCGAGTGAGATCACTTATCGTTTCCACCCTGTATTGTGGATAGTTAAAGGTGATATCCAGTCAAGTCGTACCTTAGGCGCGTAGCTGGACAGCGGCGCGGGCGGCACATAGGGCGCCGCGGGATGCAGCAGGCTGGACGAGTACGGGTAGCCGAGCCCTAGCCCCGTGCGGTATAGCGACGGCATCTTGCCCATGTCTTTGAACTGAAACACGAATATAGTTGGTTAGTTTCTTAGATATATAAATTAATAGTTGCCTCGATTCACTGTTATTTACCTTGGATAACCCATTTAGTTCTCAATTAACTGTAAAATGATACTGTAAGTTCCTATCGCTTTCTAAAATCTATGAGGGGAAATCGCGTTTTGACAACCCATTTTATATTTATTGATTAGAGACGAGTGAATTACCTATTTGTACAGTATTTACTACTGTTCTAATCTATCTCTTTACGAAGTTCTAGTTAATTGGTGCTCTGATAAAAAGTATGATTCGACCCATTTATTCATCGTATCGAGGTGTAAAGTAATTAACAATGAAGAAACAGCATAATTATTTATCATCGTTTTAGTAGCACACACAAGTCTACTTTCGAATCACAAAAAAAAACAAATAAATAACCCATCAGCGTGCGTACGGATAACGAAGTATCTAATTGCATGTCAATACTTTTAAACTAATTGCCATCAAACTGTTAAAATTACAATTTAAAAAGGCACCGCTAAATTGTTTTATCGCTTTCACCAATTAGTTCTATAATAGTCTTCAGCCTAAACTTAATTAAAACTCTAGAACAAGCCTGTCCAAGTACACATTGGAATTACATAAATATTATTTCAAGCAATTAGAAATCTACCTGTATATAAAATATGATTCAATTTGTGTAAGTGGGCCAACAAGTGCCATTAAAATTGTCACATACACGTTGTAAAGTAGGTCATGGAAGGCCACATTTCTTATTTAAGTCTCTGAGCATGTTAACATACCACCAATTTCACGGGCTGCGTATTGATATTACTTTGCACGCACCAAACACAAGGTCAAATAACTAACAATGCCTTTAACATTTGAAGTATTTTTATGTGAATACGAAACAAAACATAATACATAGTTTTTGTGATGGATCTCATACACTTCATACTTTAGAAGACTACATTGACAGTTAAAAGGGACGTCATTAAGGCACTTAGAAACCATTGATTTCTGTTTCACACTTTTGAAGAGCTTTGTCCGGGCTTGTTGATGACGCAATTCACAGTAAAATTTTGAAAATTTTAATTTTTAAATATCTATTACTCCTTTTTTTTTCAACAACAATAATAATACTTTTATAAAGAGGGAAAACCCTATTTTTGGCTATACTATCAGTTTAAATGTAATAACTAATATTTTTTATGTATCTCTGTTGGTTTCTATCTATACTAATATTATAAATGCCAAAGTAACTCTGTCTGTCTCGTTTTCACGCCTAAACCACTGAACCCATTTTGATGAAATTTGGCATAGAGATAGTTTCGAGTCCCGGGAAAGGACATAGGATAGTTTTTATCCCGGTTTTTGAAACAGGGACGCGCGCAATAGTTTTTCTGTGACAGACAAAATTCCACGCGGGCGAAGCCGCGGGCGGAAAGCTAGTAAATGCATAAATTAGTTTTTTGTGTTATCTTCTTGATGTTGTTTTGTGTCGCTGCATAACACATTCATTTTCGAAAAGACAAAAAGAACTCACGAGTGGCGCATGCGGCACTAACAGCTGGTGATGCGGGTGGGGCGGCGGCGGCGCGTGGGGCGCATGGGGCGCGTGGGGCGGGTGGGGCTGGTGGGGCTGGTGGGGCGCGTGCGGCGGGTGCTGGTGCACGTGCGTGTGCTGGTGCTGGTGGTGGTGCAGCTCGGTGCGCACGCCGCCCGCCGCGCCCGCCGCCGCCAGGAAACGGTTGTCGAGCTCGCGCCGCAGCAGGTCTGCGCCCGGGCCTGGGGAGAGGCACGAGTTTTAGGCGGGTTTTAGAATCGCGCTCACCGCTCGCTGATCGTCGGCGCTGACAGATCAATATTATTATAATATTTTCATTATTTTAATTTTCATACAAATCGGATTTTGTATGAAAATTAAAAAAAATAAAATGATGATATCAAATTTCTGACTTCACCATACCATTTATATGCCCATGTTAACATGGGCTAGTGTCGGCTCATATACCCATTTACATAACACCTTGTATAATGAGGGTTTTCGCGACTGAAAGATCCGCTAGATGGCGGGACGTGGATGTGGGGTCTGACTGCTGCGTGATTGGTGGATTTTGACATATCTGTCAATGTCATGTCAAAAATAAATAATCATGCAGCATTTGGACCTCGCATCTACGTATTGCCATCTGGCGGATTTTTCATTCGCGAAAACCCTCATTGAAGGGAACGTTTCTGAGTGACGCTGATCGCTCGGCGCCGACGCTCCATACATTTCGGCTGTCATCGCTGACGGTCAGCGTGCGTCAGTGTGACTCTAAAACCAGCCAGTGGTGTGTTTTATGAATCGTTTTATTTGGCGTTTGGATAATAAGGGCTGACTTTTAACTGAAGGATAATTTTGCACATTGACAATTTCAGTATGGGAGATATGTCAAGTTTATTCTTCAATTAAAAGATATCTGACGATTGAAAAATCAGTCCTAAGTTTATTATCCTTCAACCAATTACCGAAAAAGGTTTCAAGGAGTCATATGCCCGTTTTCTTCTTAATTTTTTAGTGATGCTTATAAAAACAAAATTCCTGTAATGTGTTACCATAGGAGTCACTTAAAAATTAGGGAATGATGGTGAAAACGGGCTAGCTAATAAACGTTTTGACAATTTCAATTGACTGCTTTAGAGCTCTTACACACGAGCAGCACATTGACGACAGCAAAGGCGACCGCAGTCGCCGTCACTTGTCGGCAGCTAGCCGTCGACGTACCCGCAGCAAGCTGTCGACACGTCGACGTCTGCCGTCGACGAGTCGACAGCTTGCTGCGACGACCGTGTCGGCGTACGTCTTTGTACAGGAGCCAGCCAGTTGAAAATGGATTTCATTGAAGAAACACTGTTGTTGCATTTACCCGTCGTCGTCGACGAAAGAGAAAGAACCGGTCATTGTGGGTTTAAGAAATGTTATTGAATAGAGAACGAGACTACACACACCGACGCCCATGCTCTATTTTTTAATGTTTTATTATGGTAGCCTTCTAAATTCGAGTTCCATATTATTTCATTGTTTTTGACAGCACTAATTTTTTAGCAATTCCCTAAGGGTTCTTACCCACGAACAGCATTTTGTCAACAGCAAGCTGTCGACTCGTCGACAGCTTGCTGCGGGCACGTCGACGGCTAGCTGCCGACAAGTGACGGCGACTGCGGTCGCCTTTGCTGTCGTCAATGTGCTGCTCGTGTGTAAGAGCTCTTAGTTGTGATAAAAAGAGACAGCTCATATTTATTTATCTTTCTATTAGGAGTTGGGACTTGGGACTGTTTCAATTATCAAGGCAATGCGAATACAAATGCTAATTTGCAACACGTGTAGACACGTGAAGAGGTCATGGAAACAAAGGTTGTAAAAATAATTTAGTAGGTGTAAATATTCCTTGTCTCATAAATATCCAAAGACTATAGCAATATTGGTTGATTTAGTGAAGGGCAATTCAAATTATGAGTTATGTAGTAAAAATGTAATTATTGTTTAAGTTATCTTTGAAATGTAGACCATATTAAATTACATTGTGCGACGAGTCATCATGGTTATTCTCTCTTATTTAGTTTTAGCATCTATGTATGGTTCTTGGTTGTCAAATAATGTATTGAGCTTATCGTATCTCGTATAATGACTTAGTTACACTACGCGGGAAATTGACCAAGAAGCCCGAGCACGTACAACGAAATATGAACGGATTCACGGCGAAACTAACTGAAGTGCGTCTTTACACTATGGCTGGGTTGCACATTCTTACTGTAACAAAAGTCTGTCAAACTCCATACAAAAAGCACCGGCTATCGTTATAGTTAGGTGGTGCAACTTAGCCGAAGTCTCGATCAATTTTCGGCATAATGTAACCTCGCCATAACAATGTATAATACTCACTAGATTGGAAGAGCGACTCCGCCGAGAAGGGGTTAGGGTTAGGCGGCGCGAGCGGCGCGCCGAACAACGGCGGCGCAGGCGCGAACCCGCTGCTCGATCGCTCCGGGCCTGCGGGCCTGCTGAAAGGAACATGCCCATCACATAACCGTGTAAAAGAACTTCCTAAACTGTTAAATGGCTATTATTGTTACCCCTTTTAATGCAAATTCATTCTATTCTATGACATGCCTTGCTTGAAAGAACATGCCCAGCATAATCATAGCCATATCTTACAACTTTTGGCCTTTGTAAACTCTAGTAGATATGTTTGTCGAATAGGAAAACTTATGTTAGTCAAGCTTGTTGCAAATCTTTGAGTCGAAGTAATATATTACTCGCCTAAGAGTAGGCGCACACCGTTGATTTTTAGTTGGCCGATAGTTGTGCCCGATTTTAATTTGTATGAAGAATCGGCCAAATTGAATCGGCGTAGTGTGCGCACTCCCATACATGCCCATACTGATTAACTGCCCGACTAAACTATCGGCCGACGAAAAATCAACGGTGTGCGCCTATTCTAAGTGAAACAAAGTTTAAATCGTTTCGACTTGCTTCAACTTTGTAGTATGTAGTAATGAAAAAAATATTGAACAACAATTTGCACGTAAAAAGGCGATAATTGTTTGACATTGACATACATCAATGTCAAACAGTAGCTGTATCCGATCGTATACTCACGTTACCCCCCAGTGGGCGGGCGGTTTGGCACTGGAGCTGATGCTTGGCACCGTGGGCACCGGCGCGAGGGAATGCGTCAGGTGAGTGGGCGTGGGCGCAGCCGGCGTGGGCGTGGGCGCCGCCAGCGGAGCGCCCAGCGGTGGGACTAGGGAACTGCTGAGAGGCGCGCTCAGCCCTGATGACAAAGGTGCCTGAAAACAATGGTAACGGTATTTTTAATTTATGATTAGCTATGAACTTGATATATCTAAAACTGACTGATCGTTTTTTCCTGTTCCGCACTATTTCAATGATCACTCATGCAGTGCAGGACTAAGAAACGAAGATTTTTTCAACACAAAAGTGTCAGTTTTTAAAATCTGTGATATTAAAAAAGTTAAACCTTATTACAAAAAAAGCTTGAAAGCAATATTGAAAAAGTCTAAACATTATAAAACATGGGTCGTTTTTTTAATCTTTCCATTCCGGGAAAGAATTTATTTTTGTAACAAGGTTATCCAGTGTTCAGTGGTCAAGCGTTAAATAAACGGCGATGCAACGCACCGTTCGTTACAGCGCAGGCGACGCCAGCTAGAGTATAGAGTAAGAGACTGACCGCGAGCGGCGCGGCGAGCGGCGCGGACAGCGGCGCGACGAGCGCGGGCGCGTGCGACTGCTGCGGCGCCGGCGCGCTCGCGGCCGATGCGGACGTGCTGCGCGACAGACTGCTGATGTTGCTGCTGGAATCAAGCTGGGTTTTTACTACCGTCCCAATACATCAGCGGCTCCCAACCCTTTCAATTTTATTTCTGTCTTGTTTGCAATCTGAATCTATGTAATATTGTTTGCCGTTTGCTGAAGCACAGCGCTGATGCACAAAATTTTTAATGCAATTGCGATTCGAATTTGTTATCATTTCACACAATGCCTAAAAACTCGAATTTAAGAATTTTCCAATTAGAAATTGTGAATTGTGTCATGTATCTGATAATAGGACTGTCATCACTCATCAGTATTAAGAGTGAAAATATAAGTTATTCCTCAATGGACGAAAGAAGCTGTCAATGTTTTTAGTTCATGTAAAACTTTCAAGATCGGATATTTTTCCTTGAACATGTCATTGGAGTGTCAATCAAATTGAAACAATAGCAATCTGTAAATCATACCGTCTTTCGATGCCTGTCGGAAATGTTAATGAGTGATGAATAATAAGGAGTTTGCAAGTGGAGCAGTCGGAGTACTAACCTGAAACTTTCTCGTTCCCTATTAGGGCTGTGTCCGCGGGGCGAGTAGGAGAGCGGCGCGTGCGCAGGGGCGGAGCCAGCGCCGCCGGTAGAGCCCGGAGTGTGCGGTCGCACGCCTTTCGGCGTCTTCGGCGCCACAAGAGGCGATGCTGATAAACTTGTTCGCTGAAAAAAAAGAAAAGAATATTTAATTTTCTTTTTAAATTTGCAGCACATTAAAGAACTACATAATATTAATACATGGGTGATTAAGTAAAGGAAAATTAAATTATGTCATAAAAAAATAAAAGCTCACCGTATCTGTGTTCCTTGGGGAAGCCGCTGCGGGTGGGAGGTAGGGACTGTGTTGAAGTGTGGTGGCATAAGGCGCGTAGAGTGGCGGGTAAGTAGTTCCAGAATAGACAACGGGAGGCGGGAATCCATTAGAAGCGAGAGTTGAACTGACCGCAGGACTTTCAGTCCGAGACGGCAGTTCACTCGAAGACACGACAGGTTGCCTAGAATCTACTACAGGGGGAGCTAACGTATGGGTACTATTACTACTACTAGACACGGGAGGAATTATCGCAGGAGCGATACTGACAGCGGGTGTTGTTTCCACGTGATTAATTGGTGTGTGTATGGACGCAGGGGGCGCCAGGGGAGCCGCATGAGGCGGCATACTTAGACCTGGGTGTTTAAGGCTCGTGGTGTAACTTGAAATTGTACTAGTGGTAGAAGACAAAGAAAGAGGCGGACCGATATGGTTTGGTGTAGACGTTGCCATCAGCGGACTGGAGTTACTCATAGAGAGATGGCTCGTATGGTTCAAAATGGAATGGCTACTAAGAGGGTGGCTTATTTGCGCAACAGTCGTTTGGCTCGACGTCGAAGATTGAATATGACTGGACGTTAGGTGGCTCGCAACACTGAACGGTGCGAGATGCGGAGGCCTATTCGTGTACGCCGACTGAACGGAATGTTTCTGTAAGCTCGGCTGGCTCTGATAAGGCATCGGATGACCGTGAATATTGGAACTCATACTTGTGTTTATATGACTAGACCCGATCGACGGAGTTGGATAGGGGCGAGAGGTGGGCGCGGCCGGAGAAATGGCCCGTCCGGGCATGGATTGAATAGGAAGACAGCTGGTGTTGGAGGGCGGCGTGGAGAGCGAATGCGGAGGGACACTTTGAGGCACTCCATTGACGCGGTTGGAATAGGAGGTAGGAACGGAGGTGTGAGCCGGGGCCGCCGTCGCCGCGTTTCGGACGTCGTGGCCGGGCATCAAGGGGTGAGGCTGCGAGTGGGGCACTCGACTCTGAAGACTAGGATGCGCCGCCTGCGCTGAGGCGGGCGCGCCGGGCGGCGGCCGCGCCGCGTGGTGAGCGATCAGGTCCAGCGGCGCCGGCGGCTGCTCCGGCGGCCCGGTCCGCGTCTCGTGGTTCGTGAGCCGGTAGTCGGGCATCGCCGCTGCGGCGTGCGACTGATACGCTGAATGCGAGGGGAAGAGCGGCGACGGAGCCGGAGGCGCGGGCGGCGCCGGCGTCGGGCTGTCGGCAGCGGCGCGGGCGCCGGGCTGCAGCTTGTTGTTGCTCGCGGGACGTTCGGGCGTGTCGGGCCCGGCGGCGCCGACCGGCCGCGCCGGTATTTGCGTGGCGGCCTGACCATCGATCGCGGGTATGTGAGCACCGTTGGGCCTCAGCGGCGTGTCGGCCCGGAACGGCGGCGGTGGAAGCGCGGGCGGCGGCAAGGCGGCGGGCGCCGGCGAGGGCGCGGGCTGGGGGAGCGGCGCGGGCGCGGGGCTGGCGCTGCCGCCGACCGGCGCGCGCGACAGGGCTAGCGCGCCGCCGCTGCCGCCCCGCGCCACCAGTTCGTTTTTGCCGCCGCCACCACCGCCCGCGCCCGCCACCCGGAACAAAGAACCTGCGTCTGACGCCTGAAACGTGATGAAGACGGGCATCAAGGAATGTCATTTCCTGGCGGTATCTAATTCATATTATGTTATTTCACATTGATAAAAAATATCTTGCGAAAATTCCAATTACTATGAAGAAATTAATGAATAATAATTGCATAATAACAATAAATTAATAAACCACTTACATCATCCATGGACGCGTCATGATATCTTGGTGAGGCATTTCTACTGCTCTCTGGACTCGCCTGAAACAAAGAAAAAATATTTTTAGTTAAGCTTATTTCTGGAGATTTTGATCAGAGCTGTAGCTTGAACTTTTTGTATTTATTTCAATAGATTTACCAATATCATAGCATACATACATATTATTAAGAATTTGTGACCATGTTCAATGTAAAGAAATAATATTTTCTACAAAGCAAGGGGCCGGATAGATAAATTCAAAATAGCTTTGCGGTATGCTTTTGTACATTAATGACACTTGAATATGTTTAAAATATTGATGAGCGTGAAATTTTTTAACTGTAAATCGTGTATAGTACCGGCAGTACCGACCGGCTTGTATTGTGTACTTATTAACATTCTAAATAGGTATGTGTCTATTGTTCAAACCTAACACAATAACCACCCACAGGTTTTTAGTATTCAACAGATGGAAGATGAAATCGCGTCCGACACATAAACCATTGCCAAAGAGAATTATAACCGAACTATAGTGGGATGCCATCATTCTTATAGTTATAAGTGTTAGCAGAATGTGAAGGCTTTACTAATAAGTTCTCGATAGGTTCATTAAATCGTAAATGCGCTTCGTAGATAATATACACTGCGGGCGGAGGGTGAATACTTAATGATCGTCTGCAAATGGAAACAGTCGTAAATATAACAGTGCGATTAATCGATTAGTGTTGCCATTATTGTGTTAATTACAAATTAGCACCGAATAGCGCTTAAATAAAATACTGTGTAAAGTGTAACATCGAAAATAAAATAAATGACTTCACTATTCATTCCGTGATGATACTTTCCCATTTGTACATTTGTTTACAAGAATAAGATTACAGGAAAAAGAGGGCGAAGGGTAAAAAAGTTTTCCATGTTTCCCCATAATGTAGCCGTGGTCCGATCTACCAAAAATTTCATGCTAATAAATATAAAAGCCTTGATAACCAAAGCTTAGTTTATCAAACCTATTATCCTCAATCATGACAGATTGATCCATTATCCATCATGGCAGTTAACAACGTTATGACAAGTTGCTAACATTTGTCGAAACCCGAGGGTCACACGTCAAAGTGTTGACTAATAGGTGTTCAAATGAAACGTAGGAAACAACATACTAGTAGGTAGGTACCCGTAACAAGGAAGCGTTGACATATTGGTGTCACTACAAAGAAACGAACTATTTCAGTAAAATGTTTTCAATAATTCCTAAATACTCTTGAAGTCTTGGATGTTATAAACGAGTGATGTAAAATGTAAAAACAAACACTACACGTGTAACGTATGCACAATTAACATTCCTCGATAGCAATATATCTTGACAAAGGAGGAAAAAAATTAACGCGAGAAAGCAAGAAGCAGAGTATTTTTTTATTCATTTTACTGCAATAGACTCCCAAGTGTTTGAAGGGGAATGGTAAGTAATTACTTGGAAATATTTACGAGCGAGCGAGAGAATAGCTCAATAAAACTAGCCGGGGAACCGCACCGTTTACGACGAGCAGTTTAAGTAGCATTGTCTCTCCAATCCTAACCGGACTGAGGCCAAGGTGCTGTCACATATTTTGTTTTAAAGTACCTAATTCTATTTTGAATGTTAAAAGTGTAAAACTTTGTTTTGCTTTCAGTGAGTAATAATGTTTAGAGTAGATATAGTTTGAAGTTACTCGTAAAGGTGATTGATTACTGTCTAACAGATTGGATCAAACAATCAAATTCAGGAATCGAAATACCGAAGTGACCGGATGAAATAGTCAATCGATCGTATTGAAGGAACAAATCGTTTTGGGAGCGTTCCGGCAATTGAATGTTTAGCCTTATCCGGTGGGGGTGGGTCGTCGCTCCGCAACAATGGAGTGATAAATCAAGTATGGACCGCGCGTGCCGACCAAGCGGCGGCTTCGCGTCCGGTCCACGATGCATAAAGGACATTCAAAGGTGCCGCGGACACGGAATGTTTTTTTTCTTTTGATAACAGACGTTACCTGACAAGATTACATTGAGTATCATGTAACTGAATCATTTTGTTAACAAGTGCTACTTTTTTAACGAGGACTTGGAGGGGGCTACCGTTTCCGCACAGAAAATAGGAGAAGTCAATCATCGCCAATGTGTGTTGGCAGCAGGTCAAAACATCGTTACATAAAATGGATAATAATCAGTGAGATATTAGCGCGATGACTGATGTCGTGTCGGCAAGTAATAATAGTACGTTTGAGCCCACCTCCGACCAGAAACGCACGTCTCTAAATAAATAATCTAGCTATAAAAATAAACGACCGCATTAGTCAACGGTGTCAAAATAAGACTAAGAATATTAACACAAAACAAAACGTTTATTTTCAAAACAACATAGGCTTTGACTAGTAGTATTTCGGTTCAGGCCATTATTCATGAGAATGTAAAGCATTTTACAGTTCTGTTGGTAATAAAATTATTTGGGATTTCCGTCGTAACAGCTTTGTGCCATTCTTATTTATGTCTGAGCATTTAGTAGCAGTTAATAACTTTAAAATAAATTAAGTTAAAAAATTCAGAATTAATTATGTTGAAATTACGAATTCAAAACAGATAGCGAAGCATAATCTCGAGATCCGCGCCTCGGGGCCCACCTCCGCGTCCACCCCGTAGAGAAGCGGGGAGATCCGGAAAAAATGGCGTGATAGCTTTTCGCCCCTCATTCGAAATTCTAATACTCCCACAAACTTTTAATAGGATCGGTCTTAAAATTCAAGGAGACTTTCGTCCAGAAGTAAAGTTCAAACGACGACGTCCCGATCATAGCCCGCGGTGATTTTGTAACAAGGCAGGTTTTTCTGTTACAAAAACTGGGTTATTAAATTAACTACACAAATTTAATTAAAATCTCTTTTTCACTAGTCGTTTGACACTAGCCAGATCACAGATGTAGTTTACTTCTAACAATACTGAAGATAAGTAGTTTTAGTTATAGTAATTTCATGTATGCGTGTTTGTCTTGTTGGTTGTCCTAATAAATAAAATAAAGTACTATCAAATAGCAACATCATATTTCGAGGTTTGTGTAAGGGGTTATAATAATGCGTGAAGTCATGTGAGTATATTATCACATCAGCTTCGTCGTATGTCATGAATTATTTATGGCGCTACTGTAATATATTAGTAGAATTCCGTTTTAACATTCAGTCGTCAGTCAGTTAGGCATCTCACTAAACGGAATAAGTAATTATGATTAATGATTTTATTATACTGTTGATAACTAACAATTAACTAAACAAAATTATTTTGCTTTTTACATCAGACAAACTATGCATGCAAAAAATAATAATTGTATTCTTAAATTCACATACGTATAATTAAGTTTATGAATAGTTAGGAAATTACATAAATATTTTCTTTATTATTTAAAGTTTGGGTCGCGATTATAATATGTATTATCATGACCTGAATTTTTTGTTCCACGTTGACATCATGGTGACATAAGAACATGACAAAACGATATTTTATTTTCTCGAGTGGAGTTCGCAATGTCGACAACAGAAACATAATTTTAATGTTGTCTAACGCGTTGAAGTTTCTAGTTCGTGCATATTTCACGGCAGATGATATACATACACATTTAAAATTTTCCTCATTTTTCTTTTATATTGATAGCGCGTATGTAATTGTAGAGGCGATGGCTGTAGATATTTATCTTGTATTATCACGGCAGTCGTGAGAACTAAATATCTACCTAATTAGTCTATAATTTTAAGAATTAACGATACCTACGATAATCTTATCAGATTAATTGCTTATAATATTCATAATTACTTACTTGGACCGGCTTCGTGTATATTTTAATAGAATTAACGGATAACTCCGTAGCTTACATAAAATTATCATAAATAACATTTATGTATCGACAGCATTATGTTAAGAATAGCAAAATATGGCAGGTTTAAAATATAGTTTAATTTATCTACCAATAGATTTTAATTTATCGTAAAATAATGAATGGAATAAAAAATATCAATAATTTATCATGATTAATCAATTTGTTTTGGGGTTTTTCAGATTACATACTATTTATCAGTTATGTACTTATATTGTTTCTAAGCATATTGATTGGAAATAAAAAAATAGTTTTTATTATGTGATTAATCAATACGTACAGTTCAAGTGAGTTTACTAGTTTTATAATATTTGCAGAAATATAATTTTCTTACTGAAATGTGAAGTAATGTTGCTTTGCAACATACGAGTAAACTTCGTAAGTGAATGAATATAATGGATTGTTATGTGTTATTTGCTTTAACGCAGCTAAAACCTTCTAGCAACAGTTGAAAAGCGCTTATTTACCCAGATATGACGTGTAATAAAAATAAAGTTAACAACCGGGTGTTAGAATAGAAACTATTACGCCGTTTGCATTGCCTCCATAAACATTGGAACTGAATTGTAGTGTATTAGCAGTAAAAGCGACGCGTGTTGCGTTTCGGATATGTATCGTGACCGAGCGCTATAATGATTCCATTACTTTTTAATGTGAGTACGTGTAAATTATACTCCTTTACGATCTACAATGGTACCTGTATCCACAGTGTGTACACAAGCGTATCAGTCAATGTGCTTTGTCGTAATGCTCTAGTTTATTTCACATTTAGAGAGAGGTAGCACAAACTTCCATGAAACTAGTACCTGTTTAAGCTCTTTTTCAAAAATATTAAATAACTAGCATTCCGCCCGCGGCTTCGACCGCGTGGAATTTTGTGTCACAGAAAAACTTTATCGCGCGCGTCCCTGTCTCAAAAACCGGGATAAAAACTATCCTATGTCCTTTATCGGGATTCAAACTATCGATCTATTCCGATCCAATCCCAACATCTAATACCAGTGGTATTTCTCTATGCCAAATTTAATCAAAATCGGTTCAGTGGTTTAGGCGTGAAAGCGAGATAGACAGACAGAGTTACTTTCGCATTTATAATATTAGTATAGATAAATACATTGACCTCTTAATTTTTATGAAACACGCTTGGCAAAGTTATGTTTAACATGATTT